GTTTTAAGTCTTTAGTGGCAATATTGTCAAAGACTGTAATTAGTCAACATAATTGTGAATGCCTCCTGCAAGTCACTGTGAGGAGCGCTTTGAGAGATAAGACGTGGAGACACAATCCACCCCCGAGCTAACCGTCTAGCTGAGGAGGTGAGATAAAAGGGAGGATCTTGAGGGGTGAGGAAAGCTTAGATGTTGGAGGATGCATAAAAGCCCTGCCCATTCCCACACTTTCCTGGGGTAAACACAGGGCCAGGTTGGAGTTTGCTGTATCACAGCTCATGAAGCTGTTGGCACATCTCTTCCCAACTTGAAATCCACCCTCACAAGAGTGTTTATACCATGGATATTGGGCAAAAGCCACAAATCAGGGCTTCCCCGCCCCTCCCTGAGAGCCAGTTTTCCAGCACACCGGAAACTCCTAGGGCCTGACAGAAAAGTTCAAGGCGGCTTCCAAGGGGTAGCCTGGGAGGCTGGAATTTCCTGGAGAAGCCTGGTGTGAAGTTGCCCCTGACACGGCACCAGAGCCATGGAGTGGTGATGGATGAAAGGGGGGCTGGCCTCATGGCTGGGCTGGGGGGAAGTGGCCTGGAGTTACTGACCCTCCAGGTGGGCAGGGTGCAGAGGTGCTAAGAGGACCAAGGAGCAGAGCCTGCTATATGAATACGGTCATGTGTCACTTGACGGGGGTACGTTCTGAGAAATATGACGTTAGGTGATTTTGTCTTTATGCGAACATCAGAGTGTACTTCCACAAACCTAGATGGTATAGCCTACTCACCTAGGCTATGTGGTACTAATCTTACGGGACCAGGACCACTCTCGTACATGAGGTTCATCATTGACTGAAACGTCGTTATGCGGTGCATAACTGTATAACTGGTAGAATTATATGCAAGAAGTCTGCGGGACATAGTATTTGTTGGCTTTGTAAAATGTCATAAAATAATGGTCTTTTGAAAGGAAGTCAGGTGTTATCTAACCAACAGCCTCATCTAATGATGGAGGAAACCGAACCTCAGAAGGTGAACCCACTTGCCCAAGGTTGCTCTATTAATTAACAGGACAGATAACACTCTATCCCAGTCTTCTTATTTCAGTTCCGCTGCTTCTGTGTTATATGAGAGAGTGAGTTTATGGATATGTAACTACGTTAATTTGAAATTTCAGCCGGAGAGCACCGATTGCTATGTTAGATTGCTATGTTAGCTTTTCAAAAAACTTTTAAGTGACTAAAAGCTTTTTTCCCCTTTAGTCTTAAGTTTCTACTTAATGTAAAGAAGCAAGATTTAATTACAGCCCAGAGCCACCATACTGTAGAGGTCCCCACAAACAGCTTCAGAGTGAGTCTCTTTTTTTAAACTGGTGCTATACTTAGTTTTTGGTTTCATATAACTTTTTAAATGATTCAAGTCGTTGACATCATTGGGAAATCTCAAATAATATAGACAAGCAGAGGGCAAAAAGTCAAACGATCCTGATCCCACTCCTAAAACCTACTTCCCAGACAATCTTTACAGTTTGGTGAATATAAACGACTTTTTCCTCCTTTAGTGTAATTCTAACACAAAATGCTTCTCTAAGCTTTGGGTAGAGGTAGGGAGGGAAATAGCCCTTTTATAGCTTCTTGGGTTCTACCTATGACAAAAAAATAAATTAGGGGTGTGAAAATCACCCAGAAACAAAATCCTTAGGCTGACATATACTTAAAGGGACCCGTCTGTCCCCCCCATCACCTTAATTTTAATTTCTTAGATTCTCAGGCTTATTTAACCTTCCGTTGCTGGCTTGAGTGGATGTCCCTGAAGACATGATTTTCAAGCTGTTCTAGAGGCATCAGAGGTTCTGCAAGCGTTTGTTCAAAATTTCACTAAAAAAACCCTGTTAATAAATATATCCAAATGTATTACATTCTATATTTTAACATACTGTTAAGTTGTCATGTTAACTCCCTCTTGGCTTGGGCACACCTCAGAAAGAAGTTTCTTTCATTCCTATGCACCCATGCAGCATTCGAACTTGTCATTGATGGGGAAAATTGTACCTCTGTGGTCTTTTAAAAAATACAGGCCTATTTATGTCCATTTAAGCAGCAGGTACAACATTATTTATGAGTATGAAGTAGAATATTTCAAAATTTGGATCCTGAGGCTGATATTGTAGAGTGGGAGCCTGAGTTCTGGAGTTAGGAAAGCTTGGGTTTGAACAGCTTCCTGTGTGACCTTGAGCATGTCACTTAACCTCTCTGAGCCTCAGTTTTCTTATCTGTAAAATGGTGATAACATTATAAAAGACATCCATGTTCTTAAAAGTCCTTTGGTTGTTTTGGCCCTGAGAACTTCTCTTTGGCTACCTTTCTAATCTAATTAGATTTTATATTAAAAATTATTAGATAATTTTTAAATTATCTAATGTCTTTCCAATTATCCTTCTCAGGACCCCAGCTTCCTGCCCCATCTTATCAAGTCTTTCTTCTTTTAGGCAGCCCCAACTCCTAGAAGTCTTGTTCACTTCTACGACGAGCAGCTTGGCTCTCTGCCTCACTACACAAAGCCATAGTATTGTCCCTTATATCTAGAATGTCATTAGGACGCTTCATTAGACAGAGTCCCTGTCCAGCACTGCCACCAGTACAGTGCCTGGCAGAACCTCTTAACTTTCCTGAACCTCATCACCTTCTTGGGCAAGGATTCTCCCCCCAGCGTCTGTGGGCAGGAGGGAGTAGCGTGGGGATTTATCATCTTCTGATATGAACGCTGCCGTCTCCCTTAGGAGGCAGAACTGCCTGATAGGTGGCTTTTATAAGGAGTGATGTTGAAAGTGTGAACTTATAAATTTCTCCTAATCGAGTGTCACTCTTCCTGATTTTCTATAAAGGTCCCGTGGTGCAGTTCACCAGAAACACTGGGCTCTGTTGATGAAAACATTTGACAGCCACTGACTCGGGACTTTCCTATCAGCTCCCTGCTAGTCAGAACACAGAGCTTCTTTTATTTTCCTTTTGAACCACTAAGATGCCTTCTCTCTTTAGGATTTGTTTTATTAACCTTTTTGTTTTCTCTCGTACTCTGAAACCAGCAGAGTGCTCACAACCTGACACCTGGGGCATCTCTCATCTAATTTCTCTCAATCACGGCAGACTTTTACTTTCTCTTCCCCTCCACATGCTTTCATGGGCTGCATCTGCCGATTTCATAATTATCACTAACAACTAACTGTTTTGGATGCAGGGAGAAATAATTTTCTTAAAGTCACAGCATGCTTTAGAATAGTCAACTGAGCAGAAATTTAACGGAGTGATATTGGAGGTACACACTATTGATGTAACTAAAACAATGATCAGATTCTAGATATTTTCCCTTAAAATGAATATGACCTTATTAACTCCTAGGAAGAATATATTAATATTTTAATTATAAATACAAAACATCTAAAGAAATCTCTAAAGTCTAGAACTATTTCCTCCAGGCCAACATGAAAAACTGAGCTTCGTATAATGATAATGGTTAAGCTCTCAAAAAAGAAAATTAATACAGCATTTTAACTACTTGATCTTCACTATGTAGTAGCAATCAGAATATTAATTGAAAAATTGCATATCTTGAGGAGTTCTCAAAAAATGCAGATTTTCCTCTTCAGAAACAAACCTATAGAAAAAAGGAATCTTTCTTCAAAACTTCACAAATGAAAAAAAATAATGCCACCAGAATGTGAGCTTCCTAGGGCAGGGATTTTGCTGGTTCTGTGCTCAGCTATGTCCCCACTGTCTAGAACAGGGCCTGCCACAGAATAGGTGCTCAATAAATCCATGGTGAATGACTATTTTAACAATAGAGTTTGATTGGAAATTTAAGAAATTAGAAGTGCCCCTGAAAGGCAATGGATCAAATGGAGACCAAAAAGCTAGATAAAGTTTTGCATCTCAAATTGACCCTGAAACAAAATGATTAAACCTAATTTTTCTTTTCAGTTAACAACTGGTTATTATTGGTTTAAAACATAACCAAAGACTGCAGTTGAGGAACACCAAGTATTTGGATATATTTTCATATATAAAATGTTGTAATATACTTATCAAATATTGTACCAGTCTACAGACCACAGCTTTCTCATCCTTGCTTACGACCCTTACTATCTATTATTTTCTAACATTCCTTTAGTTGCAAGTTATAGAAAACAAACTCCCACTAACTTAACCAGAAAACGGGCGGGGGGTGGGGGAGGGAGGTGAAGATTTATTGGAAGGATTCTGGGGTGGCTGATGGGCTTGAAGAACAACCAGTTTAGGGGACCTTGGGGCTAGAAGGAAGGCCATCAGGACTCTATCTCTTTCTCAATGTCTCATTCATTCTCTCAAATTTTTTCCATAAAGTTGGAATTGAGTTTGCCAGTTTGGCTCAGCTTGGGTGACATTCCCATCTCATGGACCAATCTCTGAGGCCAGGGAGGAAGGGGGGTCATATGAGAATTTGGCAGCTCCCCTTTCGAACATGTAAGCAGGATGGAGAGGGTAAGCAGGTCCCCAAAAGAGTGGTGTGGGCATCCTCAGGAGAGAACGTATATTGTTCATAATGAAAATTAAAGCTCTCGTTTGAAACCTTCAGAGATAGACCGCCTTCCGCGGGTTGGCCCTACAAGGCTCTCACTTTCAAATTCTGGGTTCACAATAGTGTTACTTAAGGATTCTTGTTGTCCAGGGACTAGTTAAATGAATTATTAAGTTAATCAGCCAACATCTGCATTATTAAAATGAGTTAACAATACTTTCATCTGAATTACAATATTAGTATCTTTCTGTAGGAGATCAAAACACTTTTAAGTATTTAGAGATCACAGCTTAATAAGGTTAGAATAGCCTGATGAACCAATGAATAAAATTTCCTCCATTTACCAAGATGTCTTATCAAAGGTCTCAGTTGGTGAGGAACTGGATTGGCTTCTAGACTAGTATATTTTACAGTAAAGACCAGCGTCTCGACAAATAACTGTAGCCCACAGACCACTGTTTGATATTTGGCTTTACTTTATAAAAATACACAACTTAAATACATATGACACTCTCTATACAAGACATAAACAATTGTTAGATTTAACATTTTCAGTTATTTCAACAGAAAGCAAATACGCAAATTACCTCGTAAGAGCAAAGGGTTTCTTTAGAAACTCTGCATTCATAGGCCAAGGGGAAGAATGCCCCGAGAGCAATCAATGCAGGAAGCTAACCCAAACTGTCCAACCTTCCAAGTTATTTCACCAACAAGGCCTTTAGTGCACAGCTTACTATTGCACTGCTTGTTAGACACAATCTAACTTACACCACAAGTTTAAGCTTCTATCTTCTCTAGAAATGTTTAATGGAAAAAACCAATGTACAAACAGAATTAATATGTCTTACAATTGTGCTAAATATCCATCATGAAAAGCCTGAACCTCTCTTCACTTTGCAAAACTTGCAATGGAAGGTGATTAGCTATATGTTGCAGCTGAATTCCTTTTTAAAAACTTTCATGAAAACGTTGGCAGACGCAGAGTGAGCTAGATGGAGCGAGCGGAGAAGCGAGTGACATTCCAGCGCCTCCTGAGATTACCTGTAAGAAGGGTGCTGTCACTGTCAGAGGCACTGTGCATGCGGCTCCAGCCTTTCTAACTCGAGCCTGAAATGCGTCCCTCCCCCTCTAGACTGTGCCATTGCTCTGTGCGGAGCAGCTACTTCAGTACGGACTCTGAGTCTCCAGGGCTGCTCGCTGACTCTGGCTTTTTTTAGGAAATTTAGCTGCCTTATCGATGGCTCATTTAAATAACAATGAATTAGGTACTAGTTTATGGGTATAAAGCAATATTTGCCAGTTGAGAATTCAATGCATGAGAACATACTCAAGTAAGTTTCCTGAGGTAAATGTAAGCCTGCAAGAATAGTGTGCACTCTATAGAATTATAGCAATTTATCTTGGGTAGCAGCACAACACCCCCAAGTCTGGACTTTCACGTGAACAGGCTAACAAAACCAGGGACACATTTGTGTGAAGAAATAAAATGACCAGGCTGAAGTAAAAGAACTACTGACAGCTGAGAATACCAATTCAAAAGGAGGCACAAGAGGAACAGGAACAAGAGGAGGGTGTATTTTAAAGTGCTTAGGTAGGTTGGACGATTAATGGAAATGCCTCGAGGGATTTCTAACAAGTTTAAAAATGTTAACTCTTGGTGACTCAGACGTGGAAGAAATGGCTTTTCTTTAATAATAGCTGTTCAACCTTTTTACTCTTTTTTGAAAAACAAGATTCTCTATAAATTTTTCTTAGCTATTGAAATTATTCTGCTGGTTGTTACTCTCACTGATGTATGTTGAAATCCTAACTGGCTGAAGAATTTTAATAAGATTGAACTACAAAGTACATACTTGCACCAAGAATTTAAATTAATGCACAGAGGTCTGTAAAGTTTTGTATGAAGTTAGTACCAAGAAAACTTTTCATTGCAGATCATGCTTCATTATATCTTGATAGTCTACTCCAGGATTATGGAAATCAGAAAAATTCTAGGACCCTGAAGCTTAACTTTCGTCTTTTCTTTCTTTTACATAAATGAAGTAGTACATGGCCATCCTTAACATTACTAATGAAGGTGCTGGGAACTGAGTCCCAAACCTAAGAATCAAGATCAGACTAAATTTCAACAAATCACTCGTTATGTAAGGATACGAATGGAAGTCACTTATTACGTAAGGATATGAATGGAAGCGCTAAAGAACTCTCTTCGCTATAACTGCTCATCTGCAGAAGGTAGCTGGATCAGGTGACCAATCTAGTGTTTAACAACAGAGCCACATGCTCCCTGAGCTCTCTTGTCAATTGGGCTGACACTGCCATGCACGATCCCTCATTCACATGAGGCCTAAATTCTGTTGCAAGAACAGATCTATGTTTAATTACTTTAGGCATGATGAAGGCCTTAAGCAAAATTTAGGTCCAGAAGAGCTTTGGGCTAGAGTTCTGCAGTCCCAGAAGCTAGTTAAAATTAAAAAGCCAGAGGAAAATCCCACAAGAAATCATATCTCAGATCTCAATTCATAAAAAAAAAATATTTTCAATATCACCAAGATGCAAATTCATACTAGAAAACAATGCTCTTGTTTCCTGACAAGGAGCTCAAATGCACCCCAAGTGCAGCCACACAGAGTGAAGCTGCTTGGGGAGGGGAAAGATCCAGAACACTGCAGGAGGCTTGAATTAAACAAAAGTGGCTTATCTTCTTAGATGGTAAGGTAAATGCTATTTGGCGATCAATATAGGATAGCTGTTTAAAATTCACAGACAGTAACGTTTTATATACTTTAAAGCCCCAATTAGTGCAGTGTGGTCACAGCTAAAAATATGAGTGACATAATGAGAGTGATGGTGTAATGAGTCATGCAGTGAGACTGGTCCTGTAAGCTCTGGAAGAAAGGCTCCTAACACGGGGCCTTCAACCATCCCTTGGATACTGAGGAGGAGACTATTACAAGAGATTGTATTTCTTTATGGGAAATTAATTTTCATAACCTGTAGTTAAAAATATTACTATTCAGAAATCTGGAGCCCAAGCAAAAATCACAAAGATTCCTTCCACACAGGCCTTAAGATCTCTCCCCTCACCCCCACCCAAAGGCTCCATATTTGCCTCTGGTCAACCAGGCCCAGGTCAAGGCTTGTAAGAGAGGATGGAGGAGGCAGTGGCTGGAAGCCAGGGATTCAAGAAGAGAGAAATGATGGCAGATGTGGTCTATAAAAAAAATGAGGAGAAGAGAAGAAGAGGGGAAAAAATAGGAAACTAACACTGATGAGGACGAGGAAGAGGAGGCCTGGCTTGTTGAGAAGCCCCGCTGCCTTTCCCACCTGTCTCTGTCAAATGATGCAGAAACAAGAAAAAGCATAAGCCTCATATGGGGGCTGTCCTAGGGCATCAAACATGCCCAAGCCAAGCTGGCCGTGCCCTCTGGGGATGCGTGCACAACTAGTGCGACCTGCAAGCACTTCTGTCTTGGGATCTGATTCCCCATTCCTAGGTGAACGATGCTCCCTACAGCTACCAGCACCCACTTCCGCGGCTAGGGAAAGGCCTCAGATCCAGGGCAGGACTAGCAGGCACCAGTGTACCCAGAACTTCACTCTTGTAGGACTGGCTTGTCTCTCCCCCTGGTGGTTGGAGAAGGGGAACAGAGTGAATGTCATAAAAGGGCTGCTCAACGTTGTATGGCCTCGGTTCACAAACTTCCAAAGGGCTGCCAAGGGTTCGTTAATTATAGATTGATGGTTAAAATACCACCTAAGGAACTCACTGTAAAAGGAGTAACTTGCTTGTGAGGTCACACCAAACTTTCAGGGGCTTTGATATTGTCTGCTTCCGTTTTTGTTATTTTCTTCTCTGATGATGAATTTAAAAAAAAGGAAAAAGTGAAAGGGTCCTCTTGCCCTCTTTCCTCCCTCCAGAATCCTCATGGACTTTCCTGAGTGAAGTGCCTAAGGGATGCTACAATTACAGAGCTTACAAATGAAGGAGAAAAACAATTCAGATTGCTTGGATATACGAAATGAACTACAGTGTGTAAGTGGCGCTTGGTTCTCTTCACTTCATCTCTGTAAAATGTCTGTGAAATGGTAACAGGCACCTGAATTACTGATTTACAAATGACAACACATGAATGAAAGTGCACTAAGATTTTTGTGGAGGAAAAGTCCGTGTTGGCTATTTTACCTCTAGGGAAAGTCTGTTTGTACTTGAGGCCAGCACTTGTCTTGTTTTCTACTTTCTACTTGATGTTTTTCAGGAGGGCTGTCCGGGCATTCACGACTGCTTTGAAGGCATCTTCACTACCGGGCGCTACACATTTGTCAGGGTGAAGCAGCACAGCAAGCTTCCGATATGCTTTATTGACTTCATCCCTGTGAAAAGAAGCAAAGCTCCATGTCAGGAACAGGGTTGGCCCCCACCCTCCACCCAACGCACTTTAGCTGTTGGATATACAAGAGATAAATAATATCTCTTGCAGTAAGCATATCCCAAATAAGTTTACCCTTTCTCAAAGGTGGGACAAAAGGACTAGGAAACAAACAACAAACAAATAATATGTAACATACAAGTAGGAAAAATACAATGCAAAATGGGTATATAAACGCTAAGAAAATGCTAGGTAAAAAATGATCAGATGAAAACAGACAGTACTTGGCACCTAGGAGGTGCTCAGCAAATCTTTGCTGACTGAAGGAATGAGGGCATGAGGCCATCAGGGCAGGCCCCTGGAGTAGGGTTCTGGAAGAAGGTGGGGCTCAGGGCTTAATACAGCAGTGGGGAAACACAGAACAACTGGCAGAGGCTGGGAACGAAGCATGGACTCGGTATTTAGTTCCACAAGGAAACTGCTGGGAAGTAACAAGAAACAAAGTTGGCCAGGGAGCAGGGGTCAATAAGTGAAGGGCCTTGAAGGAGAAACAACAAAAAAGTTGGATCTGATGAACAACGACAACAGCAGGTGTTTCATGACAAAATGGTGCTGGGCAAGTTGTTTCTTGAATTTGGAGACAGGTGGAAGGTTGTTACAATAACCCAGGCATGGGTACAAGAGTTCAGACTAAGGTGTTTGTGGAAGCAAACAAGGGAAGATAAAAGAGATAACATAAAGAAAGAATTGGCAGAAGCAGATGATGAGCTGGATATATGGGTGGAGAAGACATAAGAAAAAGGGCTGAAATGAGTTCCAGGGTCGTGGAGAATCTGAGGCCCACGGAAGATGGTGACATCACTGATCAAGAAAGAGACACTGGAAAGGGATACCTAAGAGTTACAGTGAGCTCCTTGAGACCAAAGAAGAAACAAGAGAGAAATTAATATTATCCAGAGAGGAAAGGAGCAGTAACAATGACTGTTTCTCCAAAGAGCAGCAGAACTCCAGGAGAGATCTTTAGGCTTCTGAGCTCCTCAATGAGCAGGGACTGGTTGGGGCAGGGGCCTGGAGACCACCTGTCCCTGTAACTCAGGTGTCAGGCCTCTGAGATCCTTCTAAGTACCCAGCCACTCCCCTGGTCACAGTCTGGCTCTGTCTCTACCACATAGTTTTATTTCTCACCTTTCTTTTGTAATTCAGGGTTCCAGTTATTCCATAAGCCTGCATATGGTGCTTTTCCAAATGCCCTAGCTTTTCTCCTATATTTTTTATCAGAAGGATTTCTAGTTAGGCTCTCCAAATTAGGGAGATGGTGTTTGATATCTTGGATGTGATGGAAAGTCTTACGTGACAACTTGAAGAGACTGAGGTCACGGAGCCATGTTAATAGTTCTTCATGTCTTAGGCATATATTCTAAGGCTTTCTCTGCTTTCTGCTCTTAGGAGAGTCCTTCTGAATTTTCTTGTTTTAACCTTGCATGTAGCCTTTCTACACAGCTGATTTTTACACTAGCTAACAAGAATCACATTCTAAGAGTCTCTGTTCTTGAGGCAGGTACAGCATCCTCTCTTCCCCATGAGTGAGTCCTGGGTAGGGCCCCTCTAGCCACTCTGCTTCCTGAGGGAACATGCCCACATGGGGTTAGTAGTTAGGTCTGGTCCTCTGCACTAGGAGTGCCTTTCAAGAATTCTGGGTAGCAAGAGAGACTTTCAAGGAAAATTTTTGGAGAAATAAGACTGAGTCAGGTGTGTAACAAATATATTAATTCTACTGAAGATGAAGATTTTCTTAAAGTTCAATAGAAAAATTCTTGGGGCTGGCCCGGAGGCGCAAGCGGTTAAGTGCGTGTGCTCTGCTGCGGCAGCCCGGGGTTCGCCGGTTCGGATCCCAGGCGCGCACCGACGCACTGCTTGTCAAGCCACGCTGTGGCAGCGTCCCATATAAAGTGGAGAAAGATGGGCACGGATGTTAGCTCAGGGCCAAGCTTCCTCAGAAAAAAAGAGGAGGATTGGCATCAGATGTTAGCTCAGGGCTGATCCTCCTCACACACACACAAAAAAGAATAGTAAAATTCTCTATAATTTAAAAAAATGTTTTTAGGTTTTGCCCAAATGTGCTCAATGCCATACAAAATTAGTTTGATAGACCCAGAGAAACAAAGGTAAGAAAAGTACATGTTTATATTGCTTAAGGATATGGAACTTATGGAGGTCTTGTAAATTTTGGTAGATTCCAATTAACCTCAGTGAATAAATAAGGAATCAGAAGTTTCTTTTTTCTTAATAAATATTGTTCTAAGTTAGTTAATAGGTAAAGTAATAGTTTATCAGTTTTAGAGCCAATATCCCTTGGAGATGAAATGGAAAAATTTAGAATGAGACTATGGAAGTCTAAAAGGACATTTAAAAGACACCAATTAACTTTGTGCTGTATACATGAGGTCATCTGAATTCCTTCACGTGTTTAAAGCATCCTCAGTAACACCCGGCAAGTCAAGGGTGACTAATAACTGTCATCCTCTTCCCCTCCCCTCTTTCCTTCTGCACTTGAAGATATATGCCATGAGACCAAAATGGAGAGGAGACACTTAATGCTGTTGATGCTGACAAGTCAATTTCAAGACACATTTTTTTCTTTTGTGGGAATCAAGGTAAGAAAGTAGAAAGGGAGAAGCATGTGGAGGAAAGCTATGGTGCAAAATGCAAAGGTCTGAGAACCTTATAAATTATAATATGCACAGTAACAGTAGTAGTGTATCATTAAAAGTTATATAACCACTGAAAGTTAGTAAGAGGCTAGATCCCAAGAGTTCTCATCACAAGGAAAAAAAACATTTTCTTTTTCTTTTCTATCTATATGAGATTATGGATGTTATCTAAACTTATTGTGGTAATTGTTTCACAATATATGTAAGTCAAATCATTATGCTGTATGCCTTAAACTTATACAGTGCTGTATGTCAATTACATTTCAATAAAAATAGGAAAAAAGTGATATAACCATTCTGAATAATGATTTACTCTTGCACAAGCAACAAAGAGTAGTGACGGTATTTCTTTTTCTCCTGAGTAATTCTTTTGGCTAAAATAAAATAATTTAACATAAATACACACAGATGAGGAACTAGCAGGATTATTGAGAGAGAGACAGACAGAAGCAGAGACAGGCAGACACACAGTGTTCAGGGTCAAGAACCAATGTCCACCACTAACTCCGGGGGTCCTTGAATGTGTTTAGTCTCACTGAGTCCCAGTTTTCCCACCTATAAAATGAAATGTTTGGACAAGTTGATTGCTAATATTCTAAGATTTAAGAATTCTAAGATTTAAGAATTCTCATCTAAAATTCTAAGATTTAAGAATTCTCTTTTGTAAGGTTTTTTTTTAAGGTTACATTAGCTTCAAGGCAAGATCTTCCTAAACAAATGCAGAGCATACCATTTCAGAAAGTATTTATGCATATATACTACATGGTTTCCTTATCAGGCAATTGTGTCCTCTATTTTGTTTCTTTGGTATTCAGTTAATTCCGTAAAGGAGTGTTACTAATTAATCTAATATATTTCCACACATCTTCATATTTCTAGCCAATTACAAGAAGATACATCGCACCTATAATTTTGACGATTGAGTCTTTCTCTGTCATAGAACCAGCACTAACATCCTAGAGCACTGCTTACCTTGAGGCTCCAGGTTTGACTGCCAACATGTCCCAACTATCTTTACTATTTCGAATTCTGCGAATGGTGTCTGCTTGTTCTTTGGTGAAACTAGCACTGCTATTCGTGATAGGACGTTTCCCGCCATTTTCACATAAATCAACTATGGATACATAAAAGGTCTGCAAAAAGAAAACACATCCCAGAGTAGAACTGATTTTGTGAAAATAGGAATTCCTTTAAGAATCAATTTAAAGAATTTTAATATATTCCAAAAACTCTTAAAATTCATGATAAAGCAAATATGTACATTGGAAGATTTTTTTCCTTTTAAATATATCTATTTAAACACAAAAAAGTACAAGGAATAAAATTTAAATGGCTCATAATCCTACCCTCAGATAACCATACTTGAGGTTAAAAAGTAGTAGATGAACACTGTTAGAAAAATTCAAATAGTAAAGAAGAGAGTAAAATGAAAACTATGTTTCCCTACCCCTCAAGGTCCTCTCCTTGACGTCACCATTGTTAATATTTTTTTGAGTATCCTTCCAGAAAAATTTCCTATTGGTACACCAGTACATACACACATCCATACGCTAAACATTTACATAAAAGAGAGCAGATTAAATACACTGCTTTGCACCTTGCATTTTTTTCACATAATAATGAATCTTGAAATCTTTCTCTTGCTGCATATAGACGCTTTCTTCGTCCTTTTTAATGACTGTTGAGTATTTTACTGTGTGACTGGCCCATATTATTTAACCAACTCCCTATTCTTGGACAAGTCAATTGTTTCCAGTTTTTTGCTACTACAAACAGTGCTTTAGTGGGTACCTTTTTGGGTATATATCTCTGCACACTTCTGGGGATACTGCTTTAGGATAAATTCCTAAAAGAAGGACTACCGAATAAGAGTGCATGTGCATTTTAATTTTGGATTTTGACAAATCTTGTACAAAAAGGCAGTATCAGATTACACCTCCATCCCAGGGTATGCGAGTGTCTATTTCCCCAAACCCTCATCAATACCCGGCACTATCGTACTTCACTTTTGCCAATCTGATGTGTATCTCACAGTTTTGATTTGCACTGCTTTAATTACAAGTGAAATTGAATATCTTTTCATATGCTTATCAGCTTTTCTTTTTCCGTAAACTGTTCATATTCTTTGCCTATTTTTATGACGTTTTTCAAAGTGGAAACTACTTTTTGATCCTGCTCATAATTCATGCTCTGTGCACAGTTTGTTGTGGAATAACTTCACTCAAAATACTAATTTAATGTACTATAGCTGTTTTTAGATTGAAATATCTCCTTTTCCCTCCATTTCTTATTAAATCTCTTCCTCTTCTTTATCAGATATTTCTATAGTTCCTATTATTGTCTAAAAATTTTATCTTTCTCTTAGACTCCTCTTTCTTATCTCCAATAATAGCTAACCAACTTGGAAACCTAGACAAGAAGCCTTGACACGTGAGACGGGGTGTCATGGGAAAAGCCACTACATACTAAGACAAAAGAAGTGTTGACTTGGTTTTAGTCTATATTAATATTACTCTCTATTAACATGAGAATAAGACAAAACCAAGTTCCTTCCTGACATAAAGTGTCTATTAAATATATATGAAACAAAGAAAATGTTTATTAAATTGAACCAGCAGAAAAACACTACTTCTAAGTGCTTACTTAGAGAATAGTTTTGTTACACTCTGTTAGCCCTTTTTTTTTAAACAGACTAATTTATCCATTAGTCTACCCAAGATTTATGTAACAGTATAAAAGCACCTAAAAGGGATCACAGTTCACAGATGTTTGCTTGTGCTATGTATTAGGAAGGTTTTATTCTAGTCTATAAGTTAACCTAAATACAAAAACTCATAGATTTCTGAGGGCCCAAGTATTCACTCATAACACACATGGTTATAGAAGATCAGCTGTGGTGTGGTACACAGAACACTAAAATTGAAGTCAAAAGTCTGTTTCAATTCCATGTCTGAGTTCCAGCCATGATGGAAGAATGGGTACTCGACTAGACCTCCCCCATAAACTACTACAAAAGTGGACAAATATATAAGGTAACTATTTTCAGGCAGTGGACAACAGCAAGTGTAAGATTGCTCCTTGGTTTTCTACCTGGAGTCCACTTCCTGACCATGTCACAGAGAGCTGGAGTCTGAGCAGACACAAAGTCCCATTGAGCTAAGGAGGCAGAGACCAGAGCTTGAGGATGCTCAAGTGGCTAGAATCTGCAGAGCAGGGCATTGGAGAGGAGGAAGCTCTCCAGAGTTGGACCCAGAAGTCCACGTGGGAGTCGTCCATTAGTTTATAGCTGAGGGCTAGGCTATACATACAAAGGGTGAGATAATCTGAGACCTACCAGATAACAGCTACTAGAGGGTTGAAAACAGAACTGAATATATACTAGAAGTCTAGTGGTGCTAGGGGAAGAGCTGCCCTGGGGACACTAGAGCTTGGCCTTGCCAGAGTGGAGAGACTGCCTTAACACCTCATTAATACCCCTAGCATCTAGCTGAGACACCACAGAAAGGCTATGCCTTAGGAGTTAGACTAAATCCAACAAAACCTAAAACCAAGAGCTGACAAGATCTGCAAGAGGGACAGAACTTGGAGGCTGAGTCCTGCCAAATTAGAAGGGCTTGGGAAACACTTTGGGCTTCCTTCAGATCCTTGCTATCAAAGCAAAAAATCAAGCCCACACAAATTCAGTGTAATCTTCCAGTAATTACACTGTCTGTGGAAACAAGAATCAACATTCTTCTGAGGAAAATAAAAGAATCTAGAATCTCTACAATGTATTATACACAATGTCTGGTACTCAATCAAAAAATCACTACTCATACAAAAAAAAAACAAGAAAATGTGATCCATAGTCAGGAAAAAAAAGTAGTCAATAGAAAATGAACCCAAGATGGTTCAGCTATTGGACAAAGGCTTTAAAGCAGCTATTATAAATATTTCCAAGAGGTAAAGGAAAATATGTTCCAAGAATTAGGAGAAAATATACTCTTAATGAGTGAACAGATAAGAGAATCTCAGCAGAGAACTGGGAGCTACACAAAAGAACCAAATACAAATTCTACAACTGAAAAGTACTGAATTGAAAAATTCACTCAGTGGATTTACCAGCAGATTGAAGTCAGATCAACAGAGACTATGCAGTCTGAAAAACAGAGGGGAAAAAAAAAAAAAACAGAAGAAAGATAAACAGCCTCAAGGACTGTGGGACAAAACCAAATGGTCTAATATACATGTAACTGGAGTCCCAGAAGGAAAAGAGAACAAGAATAGGGCCAAAAAACATTTGGAATAAATAATGGTAAAAAAAAAAACAACTTCCCAAATTTGATGAAAAACACCTGCCTACCAATCCAAGCAACTCAACAAACCCCAAGTGAGAGAAATATAAAAAGAACCACACCTAGGTACATAGAACAACTACTAAAAACCAAAGATAAAGAGAAACTCTTGAAAGTAGCTTGAGGGGGAAAAAAGACACATTATGTACAAAGGAATAAGAGTAAGAATGGTCACTAACATCTCACGAGACACGATAGAGGCCAGAAGAGAATGGACCAATATCTTTAAAGTGCTAAAAGAAATTGAATCTCTAAGAGTTACTATTTATACTTCTTGGACAAATCACCACTACTCTTAGATGTCCTCATATGTGAAATGAGAATAATGCCTGTCAGACATTGTTAAGAGTCTCCAACAAGATGAAACATGTAAACTCCCCCAGAATTATAAAATCCTATTCAAATGGTTAAATATCATTATTGCACATATATAGGTACAAATTCACATAGGTCTGTGTACTCAAAAGACTAAAAATACGGCAAACCAACATCAACCTTATTTGGTCTTGAAATAGAAGATACTGATGCCCAATTCAGCCTGTCACCCAAGGATGAAACCTGTCTTCTAGTAGGAGGGGTGACATTTTGTGAGAAGGAAATTCAGCATTAAAGGTTAAACAAAATCCCACTCAATAATTAAGAACAACTCTTTATAGTATAGTTATATTATTTGAAATGCTAAAAATTCCCAAAATATCAGATATATTCATAGGAAAAAATGCATTATTCATGCCACCACTTACTTCCAAATGCATCTATAATTAAGAATTGACTTTATAACATTGTTTAAATAGCCTCCTCCCCCTAAAATTATTCAAGATTAGTAAGTTTTAAGTGACCATCTATTCAGGTTGCAACATGAATACATCCTTCTATTGCCTACTTGATTGGTGAGACCAGATTTTTATGTGTGAATGGCTGGATTCTGTAACGATAGTCTCCTATTCTCTAATTGCACCCCCATGGTCTAGAATATACGATTATATTAGCTATGGCAAGGCAATTTTGCCAAAGTAATGTTTCCATTTGATTATGCATACAAACGTAACTAAAGGTAGTTTTGAAGAAAATCTTTGTCCTACTTAAGTAAGTGTACAATAACTGTTGTTAAATTTGATGATTACACTAGAGAGCTTTTTCAAAATATAGATTCCTGGGCTCCATCACAACATGAAGCTTCCAGGAGGTCTGCAGCCCAATAATTTGTATTTTGAAGAATTTCCCCAGGTAAGTCTGATGATCAGCCAAGTCTGGGGCAAAATAGACAGCAGACAGGTGTCACACACACACACGCACACACTCATTCTCTCTCTCTCTCTCTTCTTCTCTCTCTCTTTCTCACCAGCTTCTGAAAAGAAAGAGCTTATTCTAATGAGAAATTCCCATTACATTTTTGCTTCTCATAATGTAAACTAAAATTCGGCATGGGCAGCCTTGACACAAACTCTACAAGAACAAAATGCTAGGTTACCTGGAACATCTCGTTAATTCCTTCTCCAGTTTGTGCTGAAGTTTCAAAGTACAGGAACCCTTTGCTTTCGGCCCAAAGACGCCCCTCACTTTCATCAACACAGCGGTGCTTGGTACAATCGATCTGAAATAGAAAGTTATGGGGCAGAGAGAAGACTCCAACCTTGTCCCACTAGAGTAGGACCCGTGAGGTCTTTGTCAATCCTTTACTGAGGCAAATACTATTCTTAAATGAACCCCAGCACTAGTATATAAAATTACCAGGACCAAAAGGGACAAAAAATTACTAATATTGAATGTGCAGTGATTTTCTATGGCAAAACAAGTGCCTGCAACTGCACTCTCACTTTATCCCGTGAGCAAACTCTGCTCCTCCCCTGTGAAGGCTGGCCTCATAACATCTGCCCCACTCAGGGGCCACGGGCTGCTCTTCATGCCTGTCCACAGTCCACCTTTCACCCGATTACAGCCCTCCTCCAATCAGGTCAGAGCGTGATAATCAAGATCTACCTCCACTGCTCAGTCACCAATATCCTTCCCCAAGTGTGACACCAGAAAAAAAATGGATAAAAGTCCTGATATACCAGGTTTTGTTTCTTATTTTTTTTTAGGGACATATGTTTTTTAATAATTTTATTTTATTTATTTTTTTTCCCCCAAAGCCCCAGTAGATAGTTGTATGTCATAGCTGCACATCCTTCTAGTTGCTGTATGTGGGACGCAGCCTCAGCATGGCGGGAGAAGCGGTGCGTTGGTGTGCGCCCAGGATCCAAACCCGGGCCGCCAGCAGCGGAGCACGGGCACTTAACCGCTAAGCCACGGGGCTGGCCCATAGGGACATATGTTTTGAAAAGTTGTTGATTCCTATATCACAGAATAAAGAATTTTTCTTTTCTTTTTATTTATTCCCCAAAACTCAGAGCTGCTCTCTTCCCATAACGAATCTAGCAAGTTGAGCATACCATCTCCAAAGCAGTTACCTTGTTGGCACACACTACAAATACAATATTTTCCATGTTTCCATGAGGTCCAAGGTCTTGCTTCATTTCTGCCAGCCATGCATCAAGGGCGTCAAAGGAGTCTTTCTGCCCAACGTCATAGACCAGTATCACACCCTGTGTGTCCTTGTAAAACTCATTACGAACCTTCACATAAAAGAACAGATGCACAAAATGTATATTTTGTGATTTTATAAAAATATATCTCACAGTCATTAACTTAGCAAAGGGTGTTCTTTTGTGTATTCATAGTATTTACTATTGTATCTCAATATGTACTGGTCTTGAGAGGACTTGTTATAAAATCAAAGTAACATGATAAAAAAAAATCTATTAGTACAGAAGGACTTGCAATGGAAACACCCCTCCTCATCCCTGCCCCATCCCTCCTCACCTCTAGTTCCACTCCCCAGAGGCAATCAATCTTTAATAGTTGTTAGTTGGCTTTAAAAGAACACAAATTTTATAAAGTTCTTAGGAGGAACTAGGAAGGTGAGCGAACAATTAAAAAGAACTAAATGACACAAGTATCAGCAATAGGTACAGCCATTTATGGATCACATCCCAAAGCTGGCTTCCCCCAGGATGCTAGGCAGAGCTTCCTTCCCTATGACTCTTCGGTCTGTACACCAACTTTAGACCTCCAAACTCAGAGCCTCTGTGTAATGCAGTGGAAAAGAGCGCAGGCTCTGGACTCAGACAGATCTGGGTCCACACTTACTTACTAGTTGTGTGATCTTGAGCAAGTCACTTAACCTCTCTGCGTCTCAGTTTCCTCATCTGTAAAATGGGGATAATACTACTTACTTCAAAGGGTTATTACGAGGATTAAATGAGATAATGAAGGCAAAGCACCTAAATGATGCCTGGAAAACAATGTGTATTAGCACCTTTTCCCTTCCTTCCTTGCATTGATTCTCTGATTGTCCTCCTTTGATGTTTTCATTAGAAATGGCAACTAGCCTCTGGGGCAAATCAACAGTTCTGGAGAAGGCAGCATGAAGTACAGGGCACACCCACATGGTAGAGGCAATGACAGGTCAGGTGGGTGAAGAGCAACAATGACAGACTGGGAGTTTCAGGCCAAAATTCCATTAAGAACCTTGACAGAGGCCATGTATTATATGTTCTTTCCAGAAAATTCCAGTACATACTCAGACTCACATTGGATATGTAGTAAGAAATGAAGACATCCTACACACGTCAGGCAGGAAGTGTCTATAGGTTTATGAGCATAGATAGACACCTGGGCCAAGAATGTAGGTACCTATTAATTTGTAGAAACTTAAGAAGCTGTCCCCTAAAATTAAAATCAACAAAATCAGAAAGAATTTTGAGCCTTCTCCCCTCAGCACTCACGGTCCTTAGCCCTCCTGCTGTAGTTAAAACGGGGCTCTCCCTTCTTTCCTGAAACTCCTGCTGCCTTGGCTCTCATATACCACATTCTCCAGGTTCTTACCTGATCTCTCTTTCACCAACTCCTCTTCTCTCCATTGCTCCCACTCCAGTCTGCCACCATAATTCTCCAAATCCTGTCCTGGGCCCTTGTGCTTTCTTTTTTAATCCTTCCTTCCAACTCAGCAAAATCAACCACTTGCACAGTTTCATGTCAGAACCTCCAAGATGAGCCCTTTCATCTGTGCTTCCAGACCTGCATTTCCAATTAGCTGTAGACTCTTCCAGCTGAATGTCTTATTGGAATCTCAAATTCAATATGTACAACAGGAAACTCTCCAACTTATTCTTTCCTGAACTTTTCCTTCTCTTGAACTTCCAGTAATGAAATTAGCACATCCTTCTCTGACTCATTTGGGTTGAAAGCCTGGTGTTAACCTTTGCAGCCCTCCTGTCCCTTTGCTCAGCAGATTCAAACAATCCAGCAGAAGCTACAACTGCCATGTTTCTTGCATCTGTCACTTCCTTGCCATTTTTATTGCCAACATTATCTCTTGACTGCACTACTGCAAGAGTCTTCTAAGCAATCTCCCTAGCAACATTATACACTGCGGATATGTATCTTTTTAAAGTCCTGGCTCAAAAATTCTTTAGTGTTTCCCCACTGCCAACCTCCCCAAGTTCAAACTCTTTTAATTGACGTTTATAGTGTCTATCAGTCCTCCACCAACTTACCAGTCTTACTATCCTCCTATCCCCTGTACTTCAAACAGATAACCTCTCATTCCCCAAAACTGCCATATGCCTTCCTAAGTCCATCTGGAAACAGACACTTCTTTATCTTTAATCTTCCAAGGTCTAGCTACGATACTGTATCTTTCACATAGCTTTTTCTCCCCAATTCCTCACCATCTAATCTTCTACACCTACAAAACAGAATGTACTCTCTATGTCCCCTGGAATACCACAGCATTTTGTACTTCTAATAGTGCTCATATTACTTCCTGTCTGGTTTTATAGTGAGTAGCACATCCCGCTGTCTTCCCCACTAGACTGTAAGCAACATGAAGGCAAGCACCTTGATGCATCCCTCTATGTGTCACCTGCTGGGCCTAGCCAGTGTAAGTATTTGAGACATATTTGTTTAATCAAATGGCTGAATGTGCTATAATAGAGAACAAAAGAAGCCAAAGGGGAAAAGGAAGAATTTGAAAATGGAAATCATGTTGTCCAGAGGGAGATCTGCACGTAAAAAGAGACTTAAGCAAGCTCAATGGATTTCTCTTTCAAAGGACTCATATTCAAGTCTGGATTCAGTAACTAGCTACCTATGTAATCTTGAGTAAGTTATTTTATTACCTCAAGCCTTAGTGTCCTCATCTGTAAAATGAAAAGGTCAAAGTAGATGTCTTAATGGCCCCCTACAGTTCTATTATTCTTGTCTCCCAAAACAGCTTTCTAATGTTAGTCCTGGCAGACTTGCTCCATCTAAATAGGAAGCTAATGGAATTGGGATTATTTAATTCTTAAAGCAGAGAAGGCAAACTTTTTAGTTTGTAGGTTAGAGAAAGCTGTTTGTTTAATATCACTCGGCCTCAAAAAGTTTCTACAGACTCTAACTCATACCAATAAACCCCAGAATTCAGTTGTGTGCATCAGTAGAACCAAGACTAGCGGTCAGATACAGCCCCACCATTCCCTTGGCGCTACTCTCTGACACCTGCCTCTGAGACTGCTATCTCACATACTAAGTGGACTGTCCTTTCTCAGCAGGCCCTTTGAGTAAAACTGTCACGAGGACTGGTGACAGCAGAAGCTTTGATGGAGGATGGACACCAAGGATTTGAGGAAGCCAGGGATCATAAGAACGGCTGTGGGCACTTCACTAGGTGTGTGCTGAGCAGAGGTATACTTTGGTCAGCTTGGGGCTTAGAAAGAAGATGATGGCTTTGGTCTTGTCAAAAAGGAGGATTTCAGTTATGGACAGCAAATATTTGACAAAAAAGGAGAGATCAAGTCTATTTAGGAGAAAAGGTACTTTAGAAGTGGTGATTTCAAGGAGCTTCTATTAATCATACTTCTATTTTTATGAGCTGCTGAAAAAAAGCGTTTGCGATTTCAGGTTGCATTAATAGGAGTCTAGTGTCTAATGATAGAAAGTAACAGAACACTCAGTGCTATTCACTAGTTAGACAGTATCTGGAAAGTTGTATTCAGTTTTCAGCTCCCTATCAGCTAACTAGAGATTATCCACAAAGGACGCTGATAGGTCTAGCTGAGGGAGGAATAAAAAATGTTTTACCTGGAAAAGAGCAGATTAACAAATATTAGAAAGGCTCTCTTGTAGAAGCACAGACTCAGTCTACGTTGCTTCAAAATCAAGGCCAGAATCAGTGGCGAAAGTCAAAGGAAAGGAGTCTTCATAAGGGAGAAGTTATTAACCAGAGTTTTTAACTCTGTAAAGCATTAACTTGTGAAGCAGTGAGACCACATCATTAAAGCTATTCATTCTCCAAACTCTACGGTCTGCACCAGTCAAAATTGTCCTGTGTATCATATTGTCCCTGGATTCCCACAAATGTACATAACTCTTACTTATCCATCAAGACTCAGTTTAAATGTTGCTTCTTCAACAGGACTTCCTGACCTTCCAGATAAGCTAGGTCTGGGTATTAAGTGCTCCCAAGCATTCTGTCATTTGTTTAACATTCTCTAACATATTTATGTTCCATGAGAACAGGGGCTGTGTATTGCGTAGAAGCTGGCACATTGGTATCTGGTGAGTGAATGATGTCCATCAAGCAGGAGTGCTGCAGAAAGAAATCCTACAATGGGCAGGGGTCTGGACCACATTAATTCTCAGGCATCTTATAACTTTCCATTTAGATGACTTTGGTGTAATCTGAGATTTACGTTAACATTTCCAGTGGTTAGAATCTATGTCAAACTTGTGGTCACCTAGAGCCTCCATGACTTTTTCACTGACAAGATTCTACACTTGTGAAATTGATTTAACCCGCTTTGCCTTTAAAATGAATTCATTTTGCATAAATATTTGGGTATATTCACAAGATGGAAGATTATAAAGCCTTTAAAAGTTATGTTTCCTTCAGGAAGATGCAGTAGATGTACTTTTCCCTATTCTTTCTGCTATGTACAAGTAAAAATCCTGGACATCATATATAAAACATACAAAAGAAGACTCCGGAAGGTGGAGAGAAGGAGCCAGACAAGCGAGGGACCTCAGGACCCAAGGAATGACATAACAGTGAGTTTCCTGGGTTTTCTTTTGCCTTAGATATCCAAGCTGAAGAAGTACTACTTGGAAATGCCAATGAGTGGAGACAAATAAAAGCCCAAAAAAAAGCCCAACAAAAGCCTGCTCTCTTTAGCCAAAGCACCAGGAAAGGGGCAGCCTCACAAGACAAAACCTTTAGGTGATAACTACTCTACTCCAGCCAGACACCTCGGAAAAAATCTGTTTCTCCACCCCTACCCATTTAAGCAAAGGCTGAGTGGAAATTCTAAAAAAATACATTACCAAAAAATACAATAACTGAAATAAGTTTAGTAGTTGGGCTCAACAGCAGAATGGAGGGGACAGAGGAAAGAATCAGTGAACTGGAAGGCAAAACAATAAAAATTACACAATCTAATAATAGAGAGAAAATAAACTAAAAATAAATAAACAAATAAAAAGAACAGAACTTTATGGACCTGTGGGACTACAACAAGATCAGAGTCCAGGAAGGAGAGGAGAAACAGGGTGGGGCTGAGAAAGGACTCAAAGAAATAATGGCTGAAAACTTCCCAAATTTGGCAAGAGACATAAACCTCCAGATTCAAGAAGCTGAGAAAACTCCAAACAGGAAAAAACCCAAAGAAATCCATGCTAACACACATCATAATTAAACCTCCAAAAACGAAAGACAAAGGAAAAATCATGAAAGCACCCAAAGAAAAATGACACTTCTCCTATGGGGAAAAAACATTTCAAATGATAGTAGATTTCTCATCAGAAATCTTAGAGCCAAAAGAAAGAAGCACGCTATTTTTCAAATGCTGAAAGAAAAGAACTATCAACCCAGAATCCCATAACCTGCAAAAATATTCCTCAGGAATGAAGGGGAAATCAAAACATTCTCAATCAAGGAAAACTAAGAGAATCTGTTGCCAGCAGACCTATTCTAAAAGAATGGCTAAAGAAGTTCTCTAAACAGAAAGGAAATGATAAAAGAAGGAACCTTGGAACATAATGAAGGATGAAAGAACAGAGCAAGCAAAAATATGGGTGAATATAATAGGCTTTCCTTCTCTCTTGAGTTTTCTAAAGTATGTTTGACAGTTAAGCAAAAATTAAACACTATCTGATGTAGTTCTAAATGTATGTAGAGAAAATATTTAAGACAATTATATTATAAACGAGGGAGGACAAAGGGACATAAAGGGAAGAAATGTTTCTACATTACACTCAAACTGTCAAAACGACGACACCAGTAGACTGTGATAACTTACATGTATAATACCAGAGCACCCATTCACAAAGCTATGTGGAGAGATTTACTCAAAAACACTACAGACAAATCAAAATGGAATTCAAAAAGCATTCAGGTAACCCACAGTAACGCAGGAAAAAGAAAACAGAGAAATGGAAAACAGAAAAGAAAAAATAAAATGGCAGGCTTAAGCCCTAATATACCAATAATTACACCAAATATAAGTGGTCTAAATATACTAGATAAGAGTAGAAATTGGCATAATAGATTAAAAAACATGACCCAACTATGTACTCTCTATAAGAAAGTCACTTCAAATATAATGATATAAGCAGGCTGAAAGAAAAGGATAGAAAAAGATATATCATGCAAACATTAATCAAAGGAAAGCAGAAGTGTCTATATTAATATCAGATAAAGTAGACATTAGAGAAAAGAAAATTACCAGATACAGAGGAGAGCATTATATAATAATAAAATTATACAATGAAGACATAGCAATCCTAAATGTGTATGCACCAAACAACAGCTGAAAAATCTGTGAAGCAAAAACTGATAGAACTGAAAGGAGAAACAGTGAAATCCACAATTATAGTTGGAAACTTCAACACCCCTCTCTCAGCAACTGATAGAACAACTAAACAGAAAATCAGCAAGGATATAAAAGAATTCAAAAACACCACTGACCAACAGGATCTAATAACCATTTATAGAACACTCCAACAATAGCAGAATACACATTCTTTTCAATGCCTGTGTAGCATATATCAAGATAGACCATATCCTGACCCATGAAAAAAAATCCTCAACAAATTTAAAAGAATCAAAATCATACAGTGTGTTCTCTGATCACAATGGAATCAAACCAGAAATCAATAATAGAAAACTGACAGGAAAATCTCTAAACACTTGGAAACTAAACAACACACTTCTAAATAATCCATAGGTCAAACAGAAAGTCTTAAGGGAAATTAAAAAAACCTATTGGATGAATGAAAATGAAAATACAACATCTCAAAATTTGTGGAAAACAGCTAAGCAGTGCTGAGAGGGGGATTTATAGTACTAAATGCATACATTAGAAAAGAAGAAAGTCTCAAATCAATAATCTAAGCTCCCACCTCCAGAATCTAGAACAAGAACAAGCAGAAGGAAGGAAATAATAAAGACAAGAGTGGAAGTGAAATGGCCAAACTAGAAAAGAGAGAAGAGCCTCCATAGGGAAAATAAAAAACCCAAGAAAGGAAAAACAAAAAAGAATGGCCGTGAGATTCATTTTGAGACTACTTAGGACCAAAATTTCCTATTGCTATTTAAGGGGACAGCACAAAAGACCAACAGATATCCATTGAGTTAGGGCTCAGAAGAGAAGCCACAAACACCAGCTAAATTTACCTGTTTTTATACATGATTTGAATATTGGTTGTTTCAGATAATTCGGGATCTTTCCCTAAACCCAATGATAATACTGGATATAGGTTTTCTCAAAAAGGCTTTCTTACCTCGTAGAAGAAGGGATGTCCAGCCATATCAAAGATGTTAACTTTGATTTCTCGGTCTCTGACTTGTACCCTGAAATGTTCAAATGGAAACAATCCCAAAGAAGGTCATGGTTTCTGCATTCATATTAATATCATTTATGCCATTTACGAATTTCAAAAGGGTATGTGTATGAAATTTAAAAGAGGCTTTCTTAGTGCCTCTTCTTGATTCAAGATAATCTTTACAACAGCCAGCAACTTGGAAGATGATCCTGCCTCCTACTTTAAGAACACTGAATTCACTTGGAATAAGAACTCTCATTTACCTTCACCTTACCTCAAGACACTTCAGCCCACACCCCTTAACTAACAAATGGTAGCCATTGCTATGGTACTAGGAAAAACTGATTTGGGACAAGTAGGAGTGAGATGAAGGAAAACAAAACATTTTACTTCACTTAGTAAGACATCTTAATTACTACTGGTTATGCTTGGTTACCATGCAATACAGTAACCAAGATGCATAATATCAATGACATTTGTTTAATTTTCTTGTGATCTTCATTTGAGTAAGAGCAATAGTCAATTTGTTTTCAAAAATTTGAAAATAGAGAAAAGAACAAAAAGAGAAATAACAACCATTTATAATAGAATTAACTATTCTTAACATCATAGCATACTTGCGTCTAGATCTTTTTTTTAAAAGAAAAATCACTATTGGCAAATGAATGAATGAAACATTATAAATAATTCAAACATTAAAGAAAAAATACAAAGATGAAGTTTACAAGTTATCCCAAATTCTATCACCCAGGAAAAACCTTCATAAATATAGATGAACATCACTGTAGATTTCTTATATGCATAGATAAGACTGATAAACACAAATTTTATTTTATTTTTTGGTGAAGAAGATTAGCCCTGAGCTAACATCCATTGCCAATCCTCCTCTTTTTTTTTCTTTTTTCTTTTTTTTTTTTTTTTTGCTGAGGAAGATTGGCCCTGGGCTAACATCCGTGCCCATCTTCCTCTACTTTATATATGGGATGCCGCCACAGCATGGCTTGACAAGGGGTGCGTCGGTGCGTGCCCGGGATGTGAACCTGCAAACCCCGGGCTGCTGAAGTGGAGCACGCGCACTTAACCACTCTGCCACCGGATGGCCCCTAAACACAAATATTTTTATAAAAATGGGATTATACTATTTCAAAATAAAAAGCATACAACTTACTTTTTATTAAATTTAACAAAAGAAAAAGAAATTGAAGTGAACTGGGAGGAATTATTGAGCTTTAAATACAAATGTTTCCTCACCACAGAAATATTATTTCCTAAAATATCCCTCTAAGGGTAAGAATAGAGATTATTAACAATAAATTAACAGATTAGAGTCATTATGTTTTTTATGTAGCATGTTTCAGTTTAGACAGCATTGATATTACTCCCTCCTATGGAATACAAGGACATCAGCCCTTGCTCTCATTGTCCCTATACTACCTCCTGGCTTGCTTATTATCATTATTCCCTTGTCCAAGTCTGTAACATCCACTTTCTGTTCTGAAACCATAATTCCTACAGTTGTTTTATATTACTTATATATTTAAATCAAACTGACCACTAAGCATCTTATCATGATTTCTTCATTCTAGAATTCTCTTCCATATTTCACCTATTCTAAGATGCACATTTGTTTTCACTTTAACATCTGTGAAATCAGATGTTATAATCATCTTATAAAAGAGAGTGTGAGAACAGTAAAATAAAACAAAATCATAACAGAGTTTGAGAGCATCTGGAGAAGATCTTCTATAACAATTTTTTTAAAAAATAATTTTACTTATTTACTTTCCCCCAAAGCCCCAGTAGATAGTTGTATGTCATAGCTGCACATCCTTCCAGTTGCTGTATGTGGGACGCGGCCTCTGCATGGCTGGAGAAGCGGTGCATTGGTGCACGCCCGGGATCCGAACCCGGTCCGCCAGCAGTGGAGCGTGCGCACCCAATCTCCAAGCCACGGGGCCAGCCCTGCTATAACAATTTATATTAGAAACTTTTACATGAAAAAGACAGCAGCTGAGAAGGGACGGAACTGAAGTCTATAAAGTCAGAAAGTAACACAAATGTGTTCACACATTGAAACTCAAAAGAGGTCAATTTAATTCAGAAGCTAGATACGGGAAATTATCTTAAGAAAAATGCTAATTCGTTATCTCAAGGTAGTGCTTTCCTAAGTTGTGGCCTTCCTAAGTCAGACCCAGCAAATCAGAATCTTAGTGTGGGTCCTAGGAATCTGCATTTTTACAAACCCGACAAGTAATTCTTAAGCATACTGAAATTTGAGCTTCACCGTATTGAAATCAGGAGGGATGGAACGGCCATCTATTATTCTGACTACCCAAGAGTACCCCTTCCTTCCTCCTCCCAGTTGCGGCTCAAAGGGGTTCCGCCATCTTCTTAGGATCCCACTCTGCTGGCCATAGCTAGCCGAGTTGGGGAAAGGTACCTGTCCTCCCCTGGACAATTAAAACTTTCTCTGGGCTTTTTAAACTTGAGATATTAGTTTTGGTCTCTCTCCGGAAGTAAAATTTACAATGCAAGCCTGAGATCTGCTGGCAGCTGCATAGAGGAAGCCAAAAGTTAGAGAGAGATGTAGTGAAATGATCTGGGTATATTCTGTCCCTGGTTCCAGCCATCTCTGAGGCCCAGCTACATCCTTGCAATTGGATTACGTAAATTGATTAATATCCTTTTTTTTTCCTTTTTGCTTGAGTTGGTTTTCTGTCAATTATATCCTCCTGACTCACCAGGGGACAGCCATCTTTTCCAAAAAAATTTCAGCCAGAAACAGAATAATCTGTTGAATAAACCACAGCTCCACAGCATAATAAGGTGATTCTCATTTCTTAGATGAATAAACTAGCTACTTACATGGATTCAAAACAAAACTGCCTTAAACAGTATATCCTACCATATCATTGATGAAATCTTGTGCCCTGAAGTATAGATACACACCACCACTTTAGTCTACCTTCTTGAATGTTGCCCTCATATTCTAATCTTGCAAACTTTCTCTTTAGCTGTATCTATCTTACCTAACAATAAACATATATTGAGTATCTACTGTGCATAAGCACTGTGCCTGGCACTTAGAGATAATTTATTCTAATAGCCCCCTCTTCATGGAGCTTATAATCTAGCAGGAGACATTAAATACAAATAATAATGATATACAAATAATAATGATAACACAAATCAATTTATGATAATACCATAAACAGCATGGAGAATTTTAATATTTCTGTCATTTGCAACCAAAAAGGGTCCTGATTGATAAACGGGGTGGTCAGAAGGCCTTATGGGGAATGGGAGTATTTTACACCTTGAAGAGACTGACAGGTGGAGAGATGAGAGGAAAAGGACATTTCAGTTGGACAGAATGAATAATGGCATTGAGATAGGAAAGTAGGAGGGCAGTAGTTCAGCACGCATGGAGAGCAAGTGTGTAAAGGAATGGAGTTAGAGAGAAGGGGAGGGGCAGGTTGGGGTCAGAACAGCGAGCGCCTGAGAGTCCACCTTTGGGGAATCCTCAATTCTACTCTTTGGTAGTATTATTTCCTGTGAATGTAACCCCTCCTCCCCAAGCTCAACCCACCCTTGATTAGTCTCCAAATAAGTCCCCATTATACCCAATTTTACTCTTCCCAGATTATTTTTGCTAGATTCCAATAGGCTATTAAAGATCATAAACCAATAAAGGAAGTCTTCTAGTAGAAAAGTTTTCACATAACATTTAGCATTTTTAGAGAGAACATTTCAAAATGCTTTAAAAACACATGTGCTAATACGACCTACTCATATAGAAACAAGTTTCCTGACAGGTTACACCTACCAGGTAGGCTTCGTGTAATGTGCTCATCACTGTAGACCCTACAGCTAACACAAGGCCTAGCGAACAGAACGTGCTCAATGATGAACGAATGATATGATCACTACATATCTGTAAAGGTCTCTTATTCTATTCCTATCTCTCCCAATTTATCTTCAGAATCTCTACTTCAAGATAGACCATTTTAGAAGGGTTCTGAATGTCTATGTAATTTATAAGCTCAAAGAAACAATATACTTACTTTGTGACTCCATAGTCAATTCCAATTGTTGCAAGATATTTAGACACAAATCTTTTCTCACAATATCGCTTTATAATACAGCTCTAAAAAGGCAAAAATACATGCTTTTAGTAAATACACTCTGGGAACATATACAAAATAAGGACATTTCTTCATTATGGTTTCTTTATTCACCACTATGAGAGAGAAAGCATTTTCAAAAGACTGAGAGAAATGCTAAAAGTGAAGATTTTAAAGAAAAATTATTTTTAAACTCTTCACTTAATACCAAACATGGGTATGTTTTCAGTTTAGTTCTCAATCCTTGTGCTCTTTTCTTTTGAAGACCTCTTCTATTCTTTTTTTTTTTTTTTTTTTGGTGAGGAGATCAGCCCTGTGCTAATATCTGCCAATCCTCCTCTTTTTTTTTTTTTTTTCCTGAGGAAGACTGGCCCTGGGCTAACATCCGTGCCCATCTTCCTCCATTCTATATGAGACGCCACCACAGCATGGCTTGACAAGCGGTGCGTCTGTGCGTGCCCGGGATCCAAACCAGCGAACCCCAGGGCGCTGCAGCGGAGCACATGCACACTCAACTGCTTGCACCACTGGGCTGGCCCCAGACCTCTTCTATTCTTATACTTGCAACAATACCACCAAAACATCAGTCTAGCCTTGACCTCCCTCCCAAGACCAGATCCAAATACCTCTCAGACTAGTTTCTACTTAGATGTCCCACTGTTTCTGCAAATTCAACATGTCCAAAAATGAACTAATCTTATACGCAAAAATAGCTCATCCTGCTGACATCCTAGTTCTGTTAATAATAGCACCACTTTCCCAATTACAGAGGATTAAAATATTAAAATCATGTTTGATTCTGAGCCTTTCTAAATCTTCTTTTGAATGTTTTTTCCATCTTTCTCCTCATTCCAATCCCCGCTGATATCACTTTGGTGTAGGTCCTCATCATCTACTCCTAGACAATGGTAGGAAATTCTTTATTGGTCTTCCCGCCTCCTTTTCCTCCCAACTTAATCAATACTGCACACCACTAACATATTTCACTTCCCTAACTCAAAAATCTTCAGTGGCTTCTCACTGCCAAGAGTTTGAAATTTAAATTCTTTTGTCCTTTATTCAAGGTCCTCCATAATCTGGCCTTAATCCGGCTTCTCTGTCTAAATCCTTCTATATAACTCTCCATTTCTGCAAAACTCCCAGGACCTGACTTCCTGACTGTTGTCATTACTTTTCCCTCTACTTGGTATGAGCTTTCTCCCTTCCTTCCAAATCCTACTTATCCTTGAAGGCCCAGCTCAAACTCTGAGCACCCAGGTTATAAGAATCTTGCCTGTATCTGAATTCCTCTAGCACTTAACTTATATATACTATTACATATATACATATATAATGTGTTTGCCATCAGTCATACACTGCCTTGTTGTTAGTTATCTTTTCACATGTGTATATTTACCTTATCTCTTCAGCCAGAAAGTAAACTACTTGTGGGCAAGCACTAGTAATTTACTTCTTAATATCTTTTGCAGCAGTTAGCTCAGTGCCAATGAAAAACCAATTTAAAATTAATTGTATATTAATAACAATCCTTAGCATTCGTGAAACTTATAATTTACTTGAAGTACTGGTAATGGAGTTTATTATGCTCAAATCCTTTTCTGATGAACCTCAATCTAAATTAAATAGGACAGTTACTTTAAAAAGTACTTAAGCTCATTGTGAACTGAAGGAAATATTTCTTTGGAGTGACTACTGCAAGAGGTTATACTTTTAAAAACACTTTATAGCTTGAAAGCACTTCTCAAATGTTTTCTCTCATGATATCCTAGAAAAATAAATATAGACTTTTTCTAAATTATTCATGAGATTAGCGACCCAGAAGTCTTTTAACTCCAGTAAGCTATTTAAACACCAGTCCTAAGTGTTTAAAGAGATACATATTTAAATAATTGTATTAATAACCACTCTCTATAACACAAAGAGACAGGGTTCCTGGGTCTTAGGATCTTACAAGCTAAGTTAGATAACATAAACATAGAGAGAAGTTTTTGCTTTCTCTATTTTTCTTAAATAGATTTTTAGGCACTTTTATTTTTTAATGCAGTTCCAATTAAAATCTTAACAGGTTTGAGTCCTTTTTATTCCAAATTATCCTAAAATTCATATGAAAGAACAACTATCTGAGAAGAACTAATCAAAGTATGAAAAAGAGGAATGGGGCAGGGCAGGAGAAAAAGGAGGGAATTTGTCTTGACAGATATTAAAATATAGTCTGAAACCAATCAAGACAGTATTATATTGGCATAAGAATAGACAAGTAGATTAGTAGAACAGAACAGAGAGCCTAGAAATATATTCCATTATATAAGGAAATTTAAAAAGCAAAGAAGGTGATATTAAAAGTCAATGGGAAAAGAATGATTTATTTAGTAAAATGTTACTGGTAAATTGAATATACATCTGGAAAAAAATTAAGCTAGGTCCTTAACTTCCCTATATACAAAAATAAATTAAGATGAATTTATGATTTAAGTATTTACAAATAAAACAATAAAAATTTAAGAAGAAAATATGCAACATATGTACAACCTTAGGGAAACCTTTTCAACCCAGAAAGGAAGCCTAGAACCCATAAAGAAAAGACATGCATAATTGAGTATATATAAATAATAATAATAAAAGCAATTGTATGGCAAAATATCTATAAAAATATTAAAAGAAACACACTGGAGCAAATATTTGTAACTCATATGACTGGCAAAAAGTTAATATCTCTAATGTTAGCAAACCAGAAAAATTGATAAGAAAGACACATCACCCAACAGAAAAACAGGTAGAGAGTATAAATTGGGCAATCCACAGAAGAGCAAATCCCAAATGTCCAACAAGCATATGAAAAGATGCTCAACTTCATCTGTAGTCAATGAAATGCAAATTAAGGTAACAATGAAATTACTTCTCACTAACTAGATTGGTAGTAATTAAAAGAATGACAACACTCTGTTGGCAAGGATTGGGGAAAAGGGTGCTTGCATACTGCTGGCAGAAACACACCTTTTTGAAAAGCAATTGACAATAGCTACTAAAATTAAAAATGTGCTCTTCAACTCAGCAGTTCCACCCCTGGGAACCTAGTACACAGAAATTAGAGTACTAGTATTTAGGATATATATATATATACACACACAGTATTTAGGATATATATATACACACATACAAGCATATTTATAGCAACATTGTTTGTGGTAGAGAAAAAAGCTGGAAACAAAGTGAATTCTCATCAATAGAGAGAATACTTGCATATTACGGACTATTACGCAACCATGAAAAAGAGTGAGTAGAACTATGACAGGTAACTTGGAGAGATTACCATAATCTATTATTAATAGAGAAAAGCAAACTCCAGAGAAGTATATACAATATTGCATGATGGGGGTACTTTTGACTGCAAGTAAGAGAAACCCAATTCAACTGATTTAACAGGAAAATATTTATTTAATATAACTGGAAATCTAGAATTAGGGCAAGCTTCAGAGTTGGTTGATATGAAGAGCCAATGGTAAGCACATTAGGAAATTTCAGATCCTAGAGGACACTGAGAACTGGACTGGGGCTTTGGGTAGGTTGCTGCCAATGCAGAAAGCTGAACTGGATGTAAACAAAGACCAAAGAGAAATTTCAGGGTTCTTCCATAGAGGGGATTAAGCCCTTGGGAATCCCCTTTTTCTTATTGCATTTCTAGAACCTCTAAAACAATGCTGATAATAAAGGAAAATAGCAACTATCCTTTTCGGTACCTAATTTTAATGGAAATAGCCTTAGCATTTTACCATCTGGTATGATGTTTGCTGTTGGTTATTAAAAATAGTTTGTCATATTTAAGTAGTTTCATTTTATTCTGATTTTGCTTAAAGTGTTTATTAGGATTGACTACTTGATTATATCATGTCTTTACAGTACTGAAAATATTTTCTCTAGTATGGGTAATCAGTTGATGTAACAAATTATGTTGATTAACTTCTTGATATTGAACCATGTTTGCATTCGTGGAATAAACTCTACTTGCTAATAGTGAAATTTTTTTGATATATTGCTGAATTCTAGGTGTAGATATTTAGAAATGACGCCTTTCTATGTATATGTGAGAATGGTATATACTTTTCTTTTTGATACTATATCAAGTTTTGCTATTTAAGTTACCATGACTATATAATAAATTGGAGTGCTGTTCATCATTTTCTTTGCCTTGGAATAACTTAAGTAACTGAAATTATGTGTTATTTAAAGCTTAAATAAAGCTTATTCATGAAGCCATCTGATTCTGATACCTTTTTGGATGGTAAATCTTTTAATTTCTTTTCTAATTTCTTCTTATGTGACTGGTCGATTGGGTTTTCTACTTCTTTTCGGTTAATTTTGGTAATTTATATTTTGCTAGGAAATCCTCCATTTCCTCTACATTTTAAAATGTGCTCCTATAGAACTGTACGTAGTATTCTCTAATCATTCTTTTAATCTCTTCCAGTATGTGATAATGTCTCCTTTTCAGTACTCATCTTGTAATTTTTTCTTTCTCTATTTTTCTTAAATAGATTTTTAGGCACTTTTCTTTTTCATTAATATTTCCAGAGAATTCTCTCTTTCTTTTGGTTTATTTCCTGTCCTTTTTCTAACGTCTTATGTTCCTTTAGTTTTTAAATCGAGATATACCATACCACAAAATTCACACTTTTAAGGTGTACAATTCAGTTGTTTTTAGCCTATTCACAAAGTTGTGCAACCATTAAGTTTCTTTAGTTTCCTCTCTCTTCTTTAGAAATGAATAAGATAATGCATCTTCCTTTGACTACAGCTTTAATTTTGTCCTGAAGGTTTTGGTATGGATTCTCTCCTTTTCATTGCTTTCTAGTTATTTTGTCATTTGTTTTGATTTGTCCTGTGATCCAAGGATTATTTACTAGGGCATGCCTTAATTTTTAACTCAAAATTATTTATCTGTATATCTTTCTATATTCTCCAAATTCTTTAAAATAAATATGTGCTACTTTTACAACTAAGGCAAAAAATTTTTTTAAGTTATATTTAAATCTTTTATCCGTCTAAAGTTTATTTTGAGAAAGGAATGCATTAAGAATCCACTCCACTCCCAAATAGTAAGTAGTTGTTCCAACAGTACTTATTAAATGGTCCCTACTTTCCCATGAATTTACTACATTTGTTGTAAATGGAATTTCCTTATGTGTTTGGGTTTATTTCTGAACTCCAATCTGTTCCACTGATGTCTCTATACTTCCTTTCCAGTATCGATACGAAAAGTTTGGTAACTTTAAAATATGTTTTAATGCCTGGTAGTGTTAGCCTCCCCTCATTTCTTTTTTCACAATTTTCTTGGTTATTCTCACCTTTAATTTTTCACAAGGACTTTGGTACCTTTTATTATCTTCTGAAGAAAAAATCCCGATTGATATTTTAACTGGAATTGAATTATATTCGTAGATTATTTTAAAGAATTGACATCTCTAAAATATTTGCCGTTGTTAGTGCCATCAAGCTGGCTGACTCCTAGCAACCCTGTGTACAGCAGAGTGGAACCCTGTCCCATCTTTCTGCGCCATCCTCTCACCTTCTGGAGCTATACCAGACAATGCTCCGCTGTTTTCACGGCCAATTTTTTCAGAAGTGGGTGGCCAGGTCCTTCTTCCTAGTCTGTCTTAGTGTGGAAGCTCCGCTGAAACCTGTCCACCGTGGGTGACCCTGCTCTATTTGAAATACTGGGGGCACAGCTTTCAGCATCACAGCAGCACAGCCGCCAGAGTATGACACACGGGTGGTGTGGTTCCTGGGCCATGGTACTCACCGCTGAATCTTAACGACTAGATCACCAGGGCTGGCCTCTAAAATACTGAGTGATCCTAATTAAGAGGAAAGTATATCTTTTCATTTGCCTAAGTAATTTTACATACCTTTGTAGAGCTTGAAATGTTTCATCATATAGGTCTTATTTCTTCTTAAGTTTAAACCTAGGTACTGTATTTTGGTTATTAGTGTAAGTTAAAATAGTTTTTTATTACACAGTCCAAACAATTATAATTCTACATAATAAAGCTATTAATTTTTTAATAGCTTAATTCTCTTTGGGTTTCCAGATAAACAATCATTATCATCAGCAAATAATGATAATTTTGCCTTCTCCTTTCCAGTATTTCATATTTTATTTTCTTCTCTCGTCTAATTGCATTGGCTAATAACTCCAGAACAATGGTACATAAATGTGGTGACGCTGGGCATTTGGGGCTATTTCTAACGTTGCATCATTAGGCATAGTAAAACTACAAAAGTGGTGCATGCTCACTTAGCCAGTTTAGTACATAACCTTCTGCAGGCTTTATTCTTTTCTTTTTAGTGCCTGGAACATAGTTGATGTTCAATAAGTGTTGACTTTCTATGAATGCTATGTTAATACTTACATACATATGCACAGAGCATACATAAATATTACAGGATAAAGCTAAATGGAAAGAAAAAAAACTAATAAACATTTACTGAGCAGCAGCTATGTGCAGGGTACTGGCCTAAACACTTCCATGAACAGCTCTTTTGGCATGTAGATCCTATTCCGGGTTGATTTTGACAGCATCCAATGATGGAAAGAGCACTGCAGCAGGAGTGTGAAGACCCAGTTCTAGTCCTGTCTTAGTCACTGGTTTAATGACCTTGGGAGGTTCTTAACCAACACCTCCCACTTACCCAGAAGGAAAGACAATTTGAGTGAAGAGGAGGCAGTCTTAGAATTCATTTGAGCAAAGGCCTCCGATCACCTCTCGCCCTCCCTTCCCCCATACTACGGGAGAGCTCATAGCTGATATCCAGTAGAAGGACCATAGAAAACGGCAGTGGAACTAAGGCTTCTTTGAGAGAATGGATGTGATGACACTACCACAAATAAAAATAAAACAAAATAACGCTGCCTCCTTGACATCCTTTGCATCTCCTCCGTGAAACACCTCAGCATCTTACGACTGAAATGTAGATTCTGGGCTCCACGTCTGCAGAGCAACATTTTATAAGTCCCAATCCTCACACGCACCCCAGTAAATTCCCTTCGGCTCCCAAGCACTGCTGGGGGTAACTAAACTTTTCTTCTCCACCTCTAAGTCGTGGACGGTTCACCTAGAACGCAGATATGGTATCTAAGACCTGACATAAGGACCTAGGCCTCCTTACTCTCTATGGATACATTCAAGGGTTAGAGACCACAAAAGCCACCTTCTTATGGAGAGTGACGTCAGTGGAGGAGGGGGGCAACCCACAGGTCAAAAAGGTCAGGAGAGTTTTCCTAGCGGAGCCGCGTCACCCAGGAGGAGACCCCGGCCTGCTGAGGGGCGGGGAGGAGGCTGGGCCCCGGGCTATTGAGTGGCCGCCCTCCCAGCCAATCGGCACGTCGCCCCGTCGCGCTGAGGTCCCGCCCCTCCCAGCGCCGTACTCACTTTTCCCACTTCGGCGTTGCCCATGGAGATGACTTTGATGCGCAGGGACTTGGCAGCCTCCTTCCGCTTCGGCATGTTGGCCTCCATTGCCCTCGCTCTCTCGGGGCCACCCGCCTCGGTCTCTCCTTGTTCACCACGCTGGCCCGTCCCTCAGGCCTCCTCGTCCAATGGCGGAACTGCTGCTATCGTCACCACCTCGGCCCCGCGGCTCGCCATCCCTGCCGCTGTTTGGCAACCGGCGCCGGCGGTTGGGAGGGCAGGGAACTGGGGGAGGGAGGAGAGAGTCTCGCGATGCTGGAGAGGGGCGGCGTGACGTCATCGCAGGCCCTGGAGACGGGGCTGTGTTTACCTGTTCCCCGGGGTCGCGCGAACTAGCTGGGCTGAGTCCCTCGGCAGGAAGGCGGCGTCCGGGGGTGGCTGGGTGTACTCTCCGTGGGGAGCGCGGCCTTGGGTTCAGGGCGCTAGGACACAGGCATTTGATGCGTTCGCAGCCGGGTGGTAGAAACCTGTTGGCAGTTCAGGGCAGATCCTCTGGCTGTGAGTATCTGGAATTACGGGTTAGTTCCAGGCCCAGCCACGCCGAAATTGCAAAATAGACCACGGTCCGTTTTGGGGTGTTTTTTCTGCATTCTTCAGTCTCATGGGCCCGTCCACTCCCTCCACCCCCTCCAATATTATGTTTCCCTTGCTGAGGCAGGGTCAGGAGCCAGGGAAGTGGGGAAGTCAGAACCCTGGTTCTGGAAGAGGGGCCTTAGGCAAGATCTGAATCCAGTTCCTTTTTTATTGTGAGGACGATCAGCCCTGAGCTAACATCCATGCTAATCCTCCTCTTTTTGCTGAGGAAGACCGGCTCTGAGCTAACATCTATTGCCAGTAGTCCCCCCCCCCAAAGCCCCAGTAGATTGTATGTCATAGTTGCACCCATTCGTATTATTTTTAAAAAATAGGTTGTCCATTTGGAGTCAGGACGGGTTTTAGTTTAGGCGGTGCGCTTCTATTCCATAGTTCTAATCTGTAGGAGGAAAGCTCAGACAGGACGTTTCTTACACTCTTGCAGCTTTATCAAGGTGTGTGTGATGGCTAGTAGCTGTAAACTCCTTCATTTTCCTCTCCCCGCCACTTCCATCCAAACTTAGCCACACCTTCTGTTCTCACGTTTCTTTTAGTTGATAGTAGGACAGTAGGATAATAATGGATTCTAAGATAACCAGTTTTCTCATTCCGGGAGATAAGAAAAGCATCTGCTCCAATAAAAATCAGTCTGAGAGGAACTGTAATTCTTTGAGTCAATATCTTCAGTTATGGAAGGTAAACAGAACTTGACAGATGATTATTAGGTGCCCTGAAAAAGAATGGCTGCCAATTTCCCAGTAAATGACAAGGGCAAAGGTAGTATTGCTTCTGTTCTCACATAGCTTTAAACATCTTAAATACATTGCAGGAAGACAGTGAATAAAGGCTCAAAATTTCGTAATTAAGTTAGATTTTCAATCATTTTAATTTTAAAATTTAATTTTAAAACATTAAATGCTTTTCAGAAAAAAGCTTATTCTGGATTGTGTTCATAATCAACAAGTAATATAACTTGTTCAGTGAAGCTTCTAAAGTTCTTTACAAATGTGAAATATAAGTCCTGGTTAAAATTTTGATAGTTTAAAGCTTAAAAGAATTGGATTTATACTGACTCTCCAGATGCTGATCTCAGTATGATTTAATAAATTAAATCAATAAACATCTCTCTCTTTGATAGTTCACCTTTGACCCTCTAATAGAACTGGTATTGTGGAGGAAGAATTGCAAAATGTCAAATCTTCAACTATTAAAGACTGATTGGGCATGATGCTATTGAGCATAAGAGCAGTAAAACATGGTGAAGATTAAAATTTATTACCATTTTTTCATATTGATGTTTTCAGGGTTTGAATATGTGTAGCCATACTTTCTGCTAGGTGTGTTAAATTAGTTTGGAATTGAAAAAGCAAGAAAGTTAGCTTTCTTTCCCACTCTCTGAGATAAAAAGGAGAAGCATGAATTACTGTGTATGGAATGGAGCTGGAAGACATGGTATGGCGTTGAGGAGCGCGAGCTCTGGAGCCAGCCCTGTTATACTTTATGTTGGCGTGACATGGGCATGTGGTGGTGGTAAGTATTGCAGGACATAAAGCACATGAAGTACATGGTAACCCCCCGATAAACATTAGCCTTATGCTTTCATTTGCTCGTGTTTTTTATTTTTATGTATTACGAAAGACTCTACGTATTTGTTTTTAAAAGTAAATTATGAAATATATTGGACATACTTAAAGATATAAAGAATAATATAATGAATAGCTATATATCCACCACCTATCTTAAGAAAAAAAAATCACCAATACTGTGTATACTCTTCCCCAGTACATCCCTCCTCCTGCTCCACAAAACGTTGCAACTATATGAATTGGTGCTTTTAATTTCCAGGCGTTTAAAAGTTGTTTTACTACATATGTATGTACAGCTTAAAATGTAGTATTGTATTGCATCTTTTGGAGATCTTTATTTTGAAATAATTTCAGTCAGAAAAGTTTCAAGAATAATAGAAAAAAATCATATTACCCTTTATCCAGATTCATCAGTCGTTAACATTGTGCCTCATCTACTATACCATTTCTGCTCGCTATCCATATATACATGTTTTTCTAAATCATTTGAGAGTAATTTGCAGACGTGTTTCTTTATCCGTAAATACTTCAGTGTGTTTCCTAAGAACAGGGACTTTCTCTTACATAGCAACAGTATACTTAGCAAAATCAGGTAGTACTATCATCTAATCCCGTGGTACCCAACCTGTGCACTGAGGTGCCCCACAGCCTCACAGTGAATTCACAGAGGGATATCTGTGAGATACTTTACATTCTAAATTTTCAAGGCAAACCAAATGAAATCTGTGCAAAACTACTTGCTCAAGGTTGTTTACAATTCCAACAATAGATGGCGCCATATTCCTTTGATATGTTGTATATTTGGGAAGCTGGGTTTTTCTGTGGTTGTGATAAAAAGCAAGTACAGTGCAAAAATCAGTGTGAAACAGGAAATGAAGATGGTCTTATCCAATCTGATTCCAAGATATGAGAAGTTGTGCAGTACCCAACAGGTGCACAAATCCATTAGTAAGCAATTGTGGTTATTTAAGAATGAAATAAAAAATATTATTTTTCTTTCAAGTTACATGTGTATTATGTTTTCAAATGGCAACTAAATTGTTAGGGCATAAATACTTAATAAGGTGTTTGGACCTAGATATTTCTTTTGGCCATGAAACACCATGAAACAGTTATTGAGACACTATAGGGCTCCTTGAACCAAGAACATTTGGTAAACTTTGATCTAACCCACAGTTCATATTCAAATTTCGCCATTTGTCCCAATAATATCCTTTATAGCTATGTCATCTCCACCATCCCCACCTCCCGCCCCCAGATCTGGAGTCTAATCCAGCATCCAGTTGTCGTATATCTTTAGTCCTCTTTTATCTGGAGTGGTTCCTCAGCTTTTCTTTATCTTCCAAAATGACAATTATTATTAGAATATCCCTCAATTTGTGTTTGTCTGGTATATTTTTCTGATTAGATTCAGTTATATTTGGCTAAAGTACCACAGGAAAGACATTATGTCATTTTAAGAGCATCATATCAGAAGATTGGTAATGTCAGTCTGTTCCATTCATTAATGATGTTAACTTGAGTGAGTTGGTTAAGGTGTAAGGTATTGTTCACTAGGTTAATCCACAGTAAAGAGACTTTTTCCTTTTGTAATAAGTAATTTGTAAGGGATTACTTTGAGATTATATAGATATCGTTTCTTCATTGAGATTTCATCTGCAAATTTGTAGAATCCAATGTTGATTCGTGGCTGAAGAGATTATTACTATGATGGATGCAAAATGGTGATTTTCTAACTCCATCATTTCTCTTACATTTATTACTTCGTCGTCTACCATAAGGGAGAGCTTTCCTTTCTCATTCATTCATTTACTAGTTTATATCAGGATGGACTCATATGTGCTTATTTTACCCTAAGAATATTCTACTATTACTATTATTTATTTTGATGCTCAAGCCAGCTCTTGTCTTTTTGATATGTCTCCATCATTTTTTGACTACTTCCTTGCTTTCTGGCACAAGAATAAGCCCTGGTTTACTAGGTCCTTTTAGTGGAGAATGGTATTTAGAAACCAAGATCTGGGTGCTAGTTGTGCTCATTGATACTGGATGCCTTTGCTTTCGGCCCTTTCAGTTTACTGAGCCAAAATAATACATATACGTATATACATGCATCTAAATCCATATATTAAAACATAGTTCATACTGATATCCACAATTTTAGCACAACAGGATTCATTCTAGCCTTCTCCTTTTCTATATTTATAACTCATTCTTCAACAGTGAGAAACTGGCTCCCATTATCCTCAATATATTTACTCATTTGCTCAGTCCTACAATACATGGGAAGTAGTTTCAGAATTGCTAACCCATACTATTTCAAAGAAGAGAAACATTTTGAACTAGAGTTCAATATTTGTTTATAGCTATTTTTGTCTTAAACTTACAGATGTAGTTACTACATAGTTTCATATAAGTATTGGGTTCAAAAGTTAGTTGAGTTAATCCTTTTTTTTTTTCCCTTTGGTGTGTTTATGGTTTTCATTTGAAATACAGTTAAGTTCATTTGTTTCTCTTTGTACTTTATTTTAGGTTTTTTCCCCTTCATTACTGTTGACTTTATTTTATTCATTTTTTTTGAATATGTGAAACTTAATGTAGTTTCAAAAGTAAGATTATACAAACATGTACTCAGAAAAGTGTCACTTTCAGCCCCATCCCAATCCTCTTCACCTCTTCCCACCTACCTCCTGTGGGCAACCAGTCACGTTAGACTCTAGTTGATTCCTTCTTGTGTTTCTTTTTATAAAAAGTAAGCAGTTACATGTGTATTTTCTTATTTCTTTTTCTTTCTTAAAAGGTAACTGTGTGTGTGTGTGTGTGTTCTTTTGAACTTTGCTTTTTTCACTTAACAGTATATCCTGGAAAGCATCTCATGTTAGTTCACAAAGATCACATTTATTCTTTTTTACAGCTACATAGTACAGTACTCCATTGTGTGGATATGCTATGGCTTTTTCGATCAATATATTTATGGGCATTTATGTATTTTCATATTGCTGTGCATGTATCTTCAGTGTAAATTTCTCAAAAAGTGGAATTAC